AAAAGGAATGATCGTCAACAGATTGATTAGCCTCAATAAGCCCCCAGTCTGTTACTTGTTCATGTCTCTCTAAAATAGAGGAGTCAATTTCTGTGTTTATATTGGTCGGATTATAATTGTGTTTTCATTTTCTTTCCAGTTTCCCTGCTCCTCCTAAACAATTGGGTAAGTAATAAAAACTAACTATATATAACTATATATCTCATTTCTTGCAGATTGGGGAGTGAGAAATCATTGGATATAGTCATAATATCTGGATTAAAGTTCTGACTGAAAATAATAAGTTGTGTAACCTTGTCTGGTAACTTCACAGTTTCTCAACAATGAAATAGCCTGAAGAGGAAAATTTTAAATATTGATGGTTTTTAAACAGTTCTTCCAGTGGATAAGGGTCATAATGGAGAAAGGGATAAGCAGGCAGGAGTGGACACCAACTTCCCCATGTTCCCGAACCCCAATTCAATCAGAGCTTCATATATTGGACTTTTGTGTAACGATTTCTAAAAACAAATCAGATTAGATGCCACCAAGGCCCTTCTAAATCTATTTTTTTTACTTGTTTAAATGTCTAATTTATGTTATATTTGAAAAATTTTCCACTGCTAAATATAAAAAAAATTTTTTTGTACAATTTCAATCAGCTTTTTTTTTTTTAATCCTCACCCAAGGATACTTTCCCATTGATTTTTAGGGAGAGTGGGAGAGAGAGGGAAAGACCGAGAGAAACACTGATGTGAGAGAAACACATCAATTGGTTGCCTCCTGCATGAGCCCTGACGAGGGCCAGCGCAGGGGAGGAGCCTGCAACCAAGTATGTGCTCTTCCACTCATCTCTTCATTTGCTGTGGATCTTGATTAACAAAAAGTCTAGAAGGAGGAAAAGTAACTACACAGACTGGAAAAGCCACTGAACCAGTTAAGGTCATAGCAACTTTTCCACCAATATGGATTCTCAATACCTGCTGGTAACAGAATTATTATAGAAAATTTAAATGTTCTCTGGTAGTGGCAGTATATAGATTAAGACATCATAATAAATAATGATGACCTTGTGTCTTACTCTATAATTTTCAAAGCATATTCAAGAAACAGCTCCACAAAGAGCAGGAATAAAATGTAAGAAATTTTCATCAATTGTATTTTTTGTTTTAATTTTCTTTTGTTTTTTCTATGTTCTAAATGTTTGTACATGGGATAGTAATATTTTCCTTATCTGGAAACCAATGTGTCATTTTTTTTCAACATATTTATTATGGATTCTTCAAATAGCTAAGCAGGTTTTATCCTTTGAAATTAATTAACCGAAGTGGGACACACATACACACACACACACACACACACACACACAAAGATTTAAAGGAAATCAGGTCCTTGCCACGACCAGAGAACATTTAAATTTTCTATAATAATTGTTCCTTAAGACATTTGTACTCTTCCACTCATCTCTTCATTTGCTGTGGATCTTTATTAACAAAAAGTCTAGAAGGAAGAAAAGTAACTACACAGACTGGAAAAGCTATTGAACCAGTTAAGGTCATAGCAACTTTTCCACCAATATGGATTCTCAATACCTGCTGGTAACAGAAGTGTCTTATTAGTAGAATATTCTTTCCCTTTTAAGGTGGTGCCATACCTAATATACGTAATATTACTGTAAGATAAAAGTTAATGAGGAACAGATCAATGAGTAAAAGAGAATGATTGATAGAGAAGTAGATAGATAAGTAGATAGACAGACTAGACATAGAATGAGGCCTGGCCAGGTGACTCAGTTAGTTAGAGCATCATCCCATACATCAAAAGGTTGTGGGTTTGCTTTCTGGTAAGAGCACATACTTGGGTTGTGAGTTTGATCCCCGGTCTGGGCACATAGGGGAGGCAACCGACAGATGTTTCTCCCTCACATCAGTGTTTCTCTTTCCCTCTCTTTCTCTTCCCCTGCCCCCACTTCCTCTCTCTTTAAAAAAAAAAATCAATGGACATGTCCTCAGGTGAAGGTTAAAATAAATAAATAAGAATTTTTAAAAATAAAATGATATATTATTATAACACCTCAAATCCCCAAAAAATCTTGATTTCAATACTGCCATTGACCAATAATGTGATTTTTTTGGTCAGTAACCTACTAATACTGCCATTCATCACACTTGTGAATCTTCAAATAACCTGTCACTGTTTGGGGTTTTTCATGGTCACTGGCATTTGGAGGGACATTTAACACAGGCATCCAAGGAGGTAAGAACTTCTCCCCTTTAAGGAACAGACACTACTTCCGGGAGAAATGTACAGAGGCCACAGGAACACTTATTTTGTTCTCCTTGAAACATTAAATGCTCATGTCGAAATTTAAACTAACAGCATTTCAACATTTGATATTTTGTCTTCTGTTAGATGTGGGGGAAGAAGTTTATGATGATGTTGATGCCTCTGATTACCCCTCGCCTTCGGCAGACATGAGGTAAGTAAGATGTTCTCATTACAATGACGTGATGGAAATGAGACTGCTCAAAAAAATGGAACTCAGATCAAACTCCGATGGGTGTGCATCTGCGGTGTGAGATCGTGTTCCCTCTGTCTTCTCCCTGGTCCCAGCTCTAACTTTCTGCCAGGTTTGTGAGTGGATAACCCTGACCCTCCTCTTTCTCTCTCTCTTTCCTCACCTCTTCTCCTTTCCCTCCCTCTCCCTGTGGTCCTGCTCATTGTCCCCTGATTATCCTCTGCTCCATGACTCACCGATGTCTGCATTCATTCATTCACTGAGAAAAAATTTGAGAGCTTGATCACATTGATCTTACTGATTCATCTCCTCCCTTTATTTTTACTCTTTCCCCAAAACCATTTTGTCTTGACTACTCTTCTTCTTTTACATATCAGCCTCCACCCACCTTGTTTAAGCCTCTTCTATGGGAGGAAGATTTGTTCTTTAACAGGACTTCTGGTCTGTCTCTTTTTCACAAAAGCATCAGTTTTTCAAAGGTCCATTCAAATAATAATAACAATAATAATAATACGTCAACAGTGAATAGGGACATTCTTCAGCTCACCTAAGGTTTCAATTTAATTTTAGGCTACAATTGTGAGATAATCTAAAATCAGTTGATACAAAAGGCGTTCCTTTTGAAAACTCTTTTGAAATAGGAAATCACATGGTAGGATGTATTTTTATGGTTCAGTAACTATGTGAGATGATCTGATACCTACTGTGTATAAAAGCAAACACATCTCTGGCTTTTTTAAGAAAAAAAGAAAAGTGAACAAAAAGATTCTGGACTTGATTAGTTGAAGGGTGAAAGTAACGTAAGTGGGAATACAATAAGTGATGTCTTCTGAGCTGCACTGGTAAAAAATGCATCAATAAACTCAAAGTATTTATTTTTTATCAAGATTGTTAAACTAACTTTACTGGACAAGAGACAGTGCCAAGATTAAAGAAACCGAAGGGAAAATGTGCTGTCGTTTATAGATGAACATCACGCTCCATAGGCAGAACAACAAAAAAGCTGAAAGGAGAACCGGTCTCCTGTCTCCGTTCTCCATGAATGGAAAATGTCATCTTCAGTACTGTTTAGCTTTAATATTCCTCACCATTGGGAAATGGCTTCTATCCCTGGCAGTGTTCAATGCCTTCTTCTGTTTTATATTACTGTAGAAATGCCACTACATTCCATGCACAGCTCTCTAGGAACCCAGAGTCACACATTGACCCTTTTCTTCAAGAAAAATAAACACCAGCTGATTCAACTTAAGGTGACATGCAACTGTTTTCTTACCGGTTGCTTATTTTCAGAGTTTAAAACAATTTTATGTTCTCTAGCATAGTATTCTATTTTTAAATAAATTCTTTTGGGGGGGGAGGGAAAGTTTTAACGTTCATGTATATTCTGATAATGTCAGAGTGCTCATGGGGTATGGAGTGTTCCACTCTTGCCCAGAGTACCATAGGATGGGAGATACTGAGTGAGGAAGCAGAATATTGTCCTGACTCATCTCACAGGGAATTCACTAAATTCTACGGTTAAGAATTTAAGAAACAACATTTTAAATAAATCAGTTATAGACAAAATTTTGTCTAGTCAAACTCGCAGCCCACATGCGGCTCACAGCGAATATTTTTGTGGCCCAGCCAATAAAACGGTATGTAAGAAACGTTTTAATAAAAATTTCGTAACTTAATTGTTACAATATCCTGTTATACATATTATTAATAATGAGCTACAACGTTCGCTAGTGACTGATTACTATAATCGTGTTGCATTCATTTCCCTTATGTGCCTTATGCACAGGCACACCATTTCTCTCCACTAATACTAGCAGCGAATATTTTAGCAGCCAATTGCCACGTCATTAGTCTTGGACTGACTTGTTTGGTGTGCGCAACAGGAAACATTTTGCTTTCAGAGAATAAGAAAAATAAGTTTATTTGCATTACAATTATTGTGCAGTTATTCAGTGTCTGGTAAGTTAATGTTCAAGAAAAAATATTAATTTTTATTAAAATGTTCTATCATTTTATGTTAACTCATTTATTTCAGCCCTTTTAATTCAGCATGTCTCTATTGAAATAAGCCCACATTTCTATGAAAATTGAAGCTTTTTTTTTTTTTTTTGCGGCCCACATAAACTTAAACCTTGTTTATTTGGCCCATGTTAGCTTTTGAGTTTGACATGCTTTCAGTACACCAACCCCACTTAGTCTAATTAATTTGAATTTTAAATTAGTTTAATGTAATCAGAATTGCTAGGAATTGGGCAAGGGCAATTTATTTTTTAAAAGCTTCCCAGGTAAGCCTGGCTGGCATGGTTCAGTGGTTGAGCATCAACCTATGAACCAGGAGGTTACAGTTTGATTCCCCGTCAAGGCACATGCCCAGGTTGCAGACTCGATCCCTGGTATGAGGCTTCTAGGAGGCAGCTGATCAATGATTCTCTCTCATCATTGATGTTTCTATCTTTCTCTCCCTCTCCCTTCCTCTTTGAAATCAGTAAAAATATATTTAAACATATAATATACACATATACATAAATATATATGGCAGAAAGCTTCCCAGGTGAGCTGTGTGGGGCCAAGCTGGAGAACCACTGTCTTGGGCTTATTCACCTCTTACAACAATTGGCTCTAGTCCAATTGGTATCAGTATGGCTCCACTTTAAGTAGATATGAAAAGGCCAATATATGGATAAACTTTTTAAGCTATGAAAATCCATTTTTAAGTGCTCTTTTTAAAAAAGCATTTTCTATGACATTGGCCGATTCATTTAATTATCTAGGAAGGAGTGAAAAATAGAAGGGGTTCAAGAATAGGTTGAATCATGAAACTACTGATATGTGACCATGTTTAAACTATTCCTCAGTGACTTCATACAGTTCAACTATTAGATCATCTCTCACTTCCATTTTAACTTGGAATCTATTCTTTTGAAGAGCCTCTTCTGCATTATGAAATGTCATCATTTATGACAATGGCTGTATTAAGAAAAATAATTAAAAACAAAATTTAACAAAAATTTAATGTTATGACTGACGTTTTTATTATACATTGTTCTTTTTATATTTTCTAAACTAAGTGTTGTTTTACATGTGTTCTGCCTTCTCAGTCAAGGAGCCAAGGCCAAAACAGAAGAGAAAGACCTTAAGAAGCTAAAAAAGCAGGAAAAAGAAGAAAAAGACTTCAGGAAAAAATTTAAAGTATGTCATATTTAAATATCATACAGAGTGCTAATGAAAAAAAAATCCTATGATTTTTAAGCTCCAAAATGAATATTTTAGAAGTATAATGATCAGTATCACAGTTATCCATCATAACTCCTATATTTTCTATGAAATTTATTTTAGATTTAAATTTATTCCTATAACAAATTAAGCAAATTCATACATACATAATATACATACTGAAATAACCATCTAAATTAAGCTATCCTTTGAACTTTGATAAGAAAAGAATCTAAAAATAAGATGGATAAAATAAATGTGGTGTATATACAATGGAATATTATTCAGCCATGAAAAAGGAAGAAAATCCTACCATTTGTGACAACATGGATGGACTTTAATACTAAGTGAAGTAAGCCAGACAGAGGAAGACAAATATTGTATGATGTCACTTAAATGTGGAATCTAAAAGAAGCCAAACTTGCAGAAATATAGAGGAGAATGAGGGTTTATCAGAGGCAGGAGGGGTGTGGGAAATGGGGAGATGTTGGTCTAAGGGTGAAGAGAACAAACTTTCAGTTATAACATGAATAAGTTTAAGGAATTTGATGTATAGCATGGTGACTGTAGCTAGCACTTGAAAGTAATTCTTAAATGTTCTCACCACAAAAAAGAAATGGTAATTATGTGAGGTTATTGGGGTGTTAGCTAAACACAGTGATTATAACTCTAAAATATATGAGTGTATAAAAATAATAATGTACGTAAAGTTTAATAAGTTTTCTAATTAAAAATATTAAATTAGGTTGGTGAGATTATATGTGATTTTTCCAAAAAAAACACCTTTTCTTTGCTGTTCTTACATTATCTTTTAAAAACAAGGAACTGTTTATTTAGCAAAGACTTTCTTAATAAATACATCAATAAATGTGTTACTTGAATAATACTCATCAATTAATAACGTGTTTTTTTTCCAGTACGATGGTGAAATTAGGGTCCTGTATTCAACCACAGTTGTTCCATCCTTAACTTCTAAAAAGTGGGGGAACAGAGAGCTACAGGTGAAGCCTGGCGAATCCCTCGAAGTTATACAAAACACCGATGATACAAAAGTTCTCTGCCGGAATGACGAAGGCAAATGTAAGTCACTGACTACTCTTCTGAGAAGCCCTCAGAAGTTAGCAGCCAAACAAGGCTCAATGACCACCCCTGCTTTCATTAACTCTTTCATTCTATGCTTTGTGAATTATGGGAAACATTAAGAACTCTTGCTGTGTTGCAATCAACATATCTGATTTCCATCTCTTTTTATTTCCCATCTGCTCTATTTCCCACTGCAGCACCAAATTGGTGCTTCTTGAAAGGGGGTCCCACAGACACCCAGCATCAGGAGACCCTTGTGTGTGCATTGAAATCACAGTTGCCTGCACCCACCCTTGACTTCCTGAGTCGTGAGCTCTGGGGTCGGAGGGAATCTGTGATCATAACTCTGCCCAGCTTCTTCCTCTGTACACTGAAGTTAAGAGCCACTGCTAAAGTAGTGAAGGGCACTAGCTCTGGCCTGGTTGTGAAATTATATAGCATATGTCACACCTGGAGTTTCTAGTTTTCCTACCTTGCAAATTCCTTGTTTTCATTTCCTGTGTGGACACATTTAATATTGCATACTATTCCAAGTGCCTATAAGACGGTCCTTGTTCTCTTTGACTCTGTCAACTAGGAAACGGGCAGATGCAAATGTTTTGTCAAATATTAGAAAGGACGCTTATGAATTTGAAGTCAAGGAAAGAGTAATTCAAAACTATGTTGCCCTATATTTGAAATCGGATAGCCAGCATGGCTGCCCCCTATCAGCTACATTAGCCTGCAGAGAACCCCTGAACTCCGAATCGAATTTTAATGACAGGAAGGTGACTCAGGGACAGGAACTGAAATGGAGCTTTAAGAACAAAACAGTGACTCAAGGGTGGGGAAAGTGGAGCTAAAGTTATCATGGAGGAGGTGTGGTTGGCTTTTCACAGGGGAAAATGGAAGGTGGATACAAAGGAGAAAAGGCAGCGTGGTATTAAGACTGAGCGCTTACTGGAGATAATGTGTACCCAGAGCTCAAGGAGGCAAAGAAAGCCCCTTTCACACTAGCATTTGGGGGCATGTACCCAGAGGAATGGCCTTCAATGCAGAAAAACTCTAAGAAAAAAAAGGTCATAAAAATGTTCAAAATTTTTAAATAATTAAATAAGTTGTGACAAATATACCAAATTAAATATTTTCCATGATGATCATGAAAATAACATGAGGAAATTCTCCGGATACAATAATAAGAGGGAGAAGAAGCCTGCTTAATGTGGGATAGGCTTTATAGGCATGTTAAAAATCATGTAAATAAAAACATTAAAGGGGATGATTAGGTTGATGGGCCTAAGTAACATGTTTCCTTTCCTCTGCGTTCCACATTATCTCACATTTTTCACAGCAGAGAATGGCCCTAGGGCTGGTCATGCGCATCTGGTCTCCAGTGCGCACGCTCCAGACAACACCTTGCCCTTGGTCTGGTGGAAGGAAGCCTTGCCAAGCTCTTCTGAGATTCCTGTCCCCAACCGTAAATCCCATGAGGAGCAGTGCTCCTCGACATCAAAGTGCCTACACAGCACGTGGGGACTTGTTGAACACGCAGATTCTAATTCAGCGGGTCTGAGGTGAAGGGTGACATTCTGCATCTTACCAAGCTCCCAGGTCATCGATGCCGCTGGCCCACGGAAGACATTAGTTACAAGGATGTGGATGCCCTTCTTGGCAAACATGTATAGGTGTAGATGTAGTTGAGCAGAAGTAGGCATCAGCCCCAGACACAGAAGAGATGGCTAGCTTCCTAGGAACCAGTGGGTCTTGAGGATGAAGCAAAGCAATAGCTTTTCAGAGATTGTTTGTAAGCTGCTATCAGTCCCTGTTTGGACATCAGTAATCCTAAGTATTGTGAGGAATACTGGAAGGCTCCTGTCCTCTTGGAATTCATCTTTAAAAAATGAAAGGTGGAAACATTACATAAAATTCGGGGAGATGACACTCAAGGAATCCATGTAACTTTTATCATTTTTCCCTGGTGCAGTAGCAACACACTTTGCAATTCTTAGCTGGTTCGGGGGTCCATCTCGAACAGGATGGGAACCAGATGGCTACATCGGTAGTATGTGCGTACCTGTTGTTTTTATTTAAAGACTTTCTTTGGATTGGACTTAATTTGGCTTCTTCATTTGAGAGGTGATTTCTGGGAAACACAGGTAGGCTAGTGAAGAAGTAAACAAGGGATGGAAGACAGTTACCACTTGAGTAACTAAAGCTTCATCTGGGAGGGAACTTGGAGTGGCAGTTCCCCCTTGCAGTGGGAAACGAATTGCGGTATTTGTACCACTTGTGTTCCTCAGGAATGGAAGCCCACTCCTGGGAAGGTGGCAAGACATTCAAGATACATGCCCAGGTTGCGGGCTCAGTCCCTGGTTGGAGGAATGCAAGAGGCAGCCAATTAATGTTTCACACTCACATCGATGTTCCTCTCTCTCTTTTCCTTGCCCTTCCTCCCTCTCTAAAAATCAATTAAAAATATCTTTAGCCTAGCACAGAAACCCCTTTCTGATCTATGCTCATGCTCATCAACTATTTCCCACCTGCAGCTGACACCCTAAAATTACAAACTCTTATTTGTCATTCTCCCAATAAATTACTCTATTTCATCCTTCTAAGCCCGTGGTCGGCAAACCGCGGCTTGCGAGCCACCTGAGGCTCTTTGGCCCCTTGAGTGTGGCTCTTCCACAAAATACCACGTGCGGCCACGCACGTACAGTGCGATTGAAACTTCGTGACCCATGCGCAGAATTCAGTATTTTGTGGAAGAGCCAATATTTTGTGGAAGAGACACACTCAAGGGGCCAAACAGCCGCTTGTGGCTCGAGAGCTGCGGTTTGCCAAGCCGCAGTTTGCCGACCACTGTTCTAAGCTATTTTATTCTACTTGGAATGCTCATAATTGTCTATTAAAAACAACCCAGTTGTCGTCTAAAATTGGATGCACATCCATTCCCTACTCCCAGCTACCCCATCACAATTAATATCTCCCCTGCCCCACCAAGCTACTGCTTTTGCTGCTTTAATTGCCTTGTTTACCAATCAAGAGTCTATTACTCTTATTAGACTCTGAGCTTGAGAGTAGCTTCCATGAAAGGCTCTCAACATTGCTATGCCAACACATTCTAAGTGCCTGGCACCTTGCTCAGGGCTTGCTGAATGGAATTTGGCAATTTGGACATTGCAGTTGGAGAACCAGATAAAAGTCTGACAACCAGGCATTCACGGGAAAATGTCTGCTGAATAGTTTAACTGGTTAGGAGAAGGAAGTTCTCTGTCTTAGCCTTAGTACTGCAGTCCGCTTGTCGTGTATCATTTGGGAGCCCTTAAAACTTTCAGTTCCTTATTTCTGCATCATCTGATTAGCAGCAAAGGCATTTGCAATCCAACACCATGGTGACCCTAACGTTTTCTTTACTCTCCATTCTCCTTTAATCCATCAAAGGAAAGAAAACATCGCTTACTTAAACCCGAGGTTGGTAATGATAGAAACTAGAGGCTAAAGCATTAACACTAATCCCTTCCCATTGTGGAGTGGCGTGCAGGCCTCTCACAGGCTTTATCACATCCGATCAAGTCTCACCCACTGACTTGTGAAGCGCAGATCTCAAAGGCGCTGAGAACTTAAATAGATATCTCTGGCACATTCCCAAATGTTTCGCATTTCTCCCTAGTATTTGTGCATATTCCGCAACTCAATGTCTCATGAGCTGTGAGTTTTCCCACCTCTTGTCACTGGAGAAAATTTTTCTACAAAAATATGCAACGAGACAGGCTGAGTTATTTGTGGCTGAAATGCCCTCCATTTCTTTTGTGTATCAGAGAAAGGGGGATTTTGAAGGTGCTTTAAATTTTCCCAAATCCAACTGACCATTCTTGGCTTAAATAATTTTGGTTTTAGTGCT